CCTCACCCGGCCGCGTCCACGGCGCCGTACCACGCCGGCCGCCCCGAGCCCTCGACGCCTCCGCCCGCGCCTGCCCCGTCCGGCCTCAAGACGCGCCCCGCCCGCGCTCACCGTGGCCTCGCCCCGCACCGTTGCCTCACTCCCGCGCCGGTTCCCTCTCCCCTCTATCCCCGCGCGAGCACCACCGCTCCTTGCTCGCCCCGTCGACGGCGCCCTCGCCTCCGTCCCCCTGCTCCCCCGACAGCGCCGGCCCCGAGCGCTCCTCCCCGCGGTTGCCTCTCCACAGGCCATGGCCGGCGCGCCCCACTCCGGCCATGACCTCGCCGTGGTCACCGCTTCCCAGATCCGGCCCCTGCCGGGTCCACCCATCTGGGCTGCGCTCGTTAACCCGTTAGCCCACACCCGCTTTTGGCCCTTGTGAGCCTATGACAGGGGGCCCCACGCCCAGAACGTTTTTTATAAAAAAAGAAAAGGAAAAAAATAACAATAATAAAAATATTAATTAATTAATTAATTAAAGAATTAATTAACTTAATTAATCTAGTTAATTAAACCTAATTAACCTGCTAATAGATCTAAGTACTGTCAATTTGGACAACAGTCTATGACATGCGGGACCCACCCATTAGTTGACTGGTCAATGGTCAACTTTGACCGCTCGCATCATGCTGATGTCATGATGACGTCATAAATGCCTTTTTGATTTAATTAATTCTGTTAATCCTAAAATGATTTAAATCTTTTAAAATTAATATAAAATAGACCGTAGCACGGATGATAAAACTTTGTACATAAAAGTTGCTCAGAACGACGAGACGGATCCGGATACACAGCCCGTTCATCCGCCACGCGTCCCTAACATAGTGAACCTGCAACATTTCACCTCCGGTTCATCTGTCCGAAAACACGGAACACCGGGAATACTTTCCCGGATGTTTTCCCCCTTCGTCGGTATCACCTACTACCGCGATTGGGCACACCTAGCATCGTTACTTGACATGTCATGCATCGATATGCATCTGTTTACTTGGTATTCATTGTTTCTTCCCCCTCTTCTCTCCGGTAGACTACGAGACCGACGCTGCTGCTGCCCAGTTCGACTACGGAGTTGAGGACCCCTATCTCTTGCCAGAGCAACCAGGCAAGCCCCCCCCCTTAATCACCAGATATCGCCTATTCTCTTCTATACTGCTTGCATTAGAGTAGTGTAGCCTGTTACTGCTTTCCGTTGATCCTATTCTGATGCATAGCCTGACATTATTGCTACATCTGTTGATACCTTACCTGCAATCCTAAATGCTTAGTATAGGATGCTAGTTTATCATCATTGACCCTACATTCTTGTCAGTCTGCCTTGCTATACTATTGGGCCGTGATCACTCGGGAGGTGATCACGGGTATATACTATACAACATACTATACAGATGGTGACTAAAGTCGGGTCAGCTCGAAGAGTACCCGCGAGTGATTCACGGATTGGGGGATGAAAGGACCTTTGTCCCGACGGCCCTCTGTGTGGATCTTTGTGGCGGAGCGACAGGGCAGGTTGAGACCGCCTAGGAGAGAGGTGGGCCTGGCCCTGTTCGGTGTTCGCGGATACTTAACACGCTTAACGAGATCTTGGTATTTGATCTGAGTTGGCTACGAGCCTATACGCACTAACCATCTACGCGGGAGTAGTTATGGGTATCCCGACATCGTGGTATCAGCCGAAGCACTTCGTGACGTCAGCGACTGAGCGGCGCGCGCCGGGTTGGACTGCGTTAACGCAACTTCCTTTGTAATGGAGGTTGCTAGGTCTGCTCACCGGCCGCGTACGCAACGTGCAGGTGTGCTCAGGGCGATGGGCCCAGACCCCTGCGCGCTTAGGTTTAGACCGGCGTGCTGGCCTCTCCGTTGAGCCTAGGTGGGGCTGCGACGTGTTGATCTTCCGCGGCCGGGCATGACCCAGGAAAGTGTGTCCGGCCAAATGGGATCAAGCGTGTTGGGTTATGTGGTGCACCCCTGCAGGGAAGTTAATCTATTCGAATAGCCGTGATCTTCGGTAACAGGACGACTTGGAGTTGTACCTTGACCTTATGACAACTAGAACCGGATACTTAATAAAACACACCCTTCCAAGTGCCAGATACAACCGGTGGTCGCTCTCCCTCAGGGATATGAGGAGGGGATCGCCGGGTAGGATTATGCTATGCGATGCTATTGGAGATGCTACTTGGAGATGCTACTTGGAGATGTTACTTGGAGGACTTCAATCTACTCTCTTCTACGTGCTGCGAGACGGAGGCTGCCAGAAGCGTAGTCTTCGATAGGACTAGCTATCCCCCTTTTATTCTGGCATTCTGCAGTTCAGTCCACCGATATGGCCTCCTTACACAGATACACATGCATATGTAGTGTAGTTCCTTGCTTGCGAGTACTTTGGATGAGTACTCACGGTTGCTTTCTCCCCCCTTTTCCCCCCTTTCCTTTCTTTCTGGTTGTCGCAACCAGATGCTGGAGTCCAGGAGCCAGACGCCACCGTCGACGACGACCCCTACTACACCGGAGGTGCCTACTACTACGTGCAGCCCGCTGACAATGACCAGGAGTAGTTAGGAGGATCCCAGGCAGGAGGCCTGCGCCTCTTTCGATCTGTATCCCAGTTTGTGCTAGCCTTCTTAAGGCAAACTTGTTTAACTTATGTCTGTACTCAGATATTGTTGCTTCCGCTGACTCGTCTATGATCGAGCACTTGTATTCGAGCCCTCGAGGCCCCTGGCTTGTATTATGATGCTTGTAAGACTTATTTATGTTTTAGAGTTGTGTTGTGATATCTTCCCGTGAGTCCCTGATCTTGATCGTACACGTTTGCGTGCATGATTAGTGTACGATTAAATCGGGGGCGTCACATGGAGATCTATTCGATGTAACTCTTTTTTGCGGTGTGTTTGTCGAGATCCGATGAATTGTGGGTTTATGATCAAGTTTATCTATGAGAAATATTTGAATTTCCTCTGAATTCTTTTATGTATGATTGGTTATCTTTGCAAGTCTCTTCGAATTATCAGTTTGGTTTGGCCTATTAGATTGATCTTTCTTGCAATGAGAGAATGTTTAGCTTTGGGTTCAATCTTGCGATGTCCTTTTCCAGTGACAGCAGGGGCAGCAAGGCACATATTGTATTGTTGCCATCGAGGATAAAAAGATGGGGTTTATATCATATTGCTTGAGTTTATCCCTCTACACCATGTCATCTTGCTTAATGCGTTACTCTGTTCTTATGAACTTAATACTTTAGATGCAGGCATGAGTCGGTCGATGTGTGGAGTAATAGTAGTAGATGCAGGCAGGAGTCGGTCTACTTGTTGCGGATGTGATGCCTATATACATGATCATGCCTAGATATTCTTATAACTATGCACTTTTCTATCAATTGCTCGACAGTAATTTGTTCACCCACCGTAATAATTATCCTATCTTGAGAGAAGCCACTAGTGAAACCTATGGCCCCGGGTCTATTCTCTATCATACAAGTTTCCAATCTACTTTATTTTGCAATCTTTACTTTTCAATCTATATCATAAAAATACCAAAAAAAATTATCTTATCATATTATCTCTATCAGATCTCACTTTCGCAAGTGGCCGTGAAGGGATTGACAACCCCTTTATCGCGTTGGTTGCGAGGTTCTTGTTTGTTTGTGTACGCGTGTGGGACTTGTGAGGAGCCTCCTACTGGATTGATACCTTGGTTCTGAAAACTGAGCGAAATACTTACGCTACTTTGCTGCATCACCCTTTCCTCTTCAAGAAAAAAAACCAACGCATGCTCAAGAGGTAGCACGACCCCACACCCTTCCGCATCTCGAAATACAACGGCGACGACCCGGACAATGATGGTGGTGGGGCCGGCCAGGGCCACGCGTACGAGGTCACCGTCCGCTACAAGTTAGCCTCCTAGTTTTTTTAAGTTTTTAGTTAAGCGAACGAAGTAGTTCGTTTTATGTAAATTATGTGCGAATTTTATGGAATTTCGTCGTGTTTGTTGAAATTCGTCCGGTTTGTGCAGCTTTATTTCGAAATGGATGCGGGCATATTGGATTGTCGGCTCCCGCATTACTGTTCGTGAATGGATAACATGTCCGTTTGGGGGATGAGGATTGTGAATGCCCTTCTACACACACTCACATATTTCGAGCTTCTGTTTATGATTTATTTCGATTTATTACTCCTTTCATAGCGAGCAAAGTTACACATACGGAAAAATTCTAATGGATTAGACTTACGGTTACGGGATTATATTAGGTTGGAGAGAGGGGAGGGGGAGAGGATATGTAGATCTAGTCCGTCCGTAAATAGGATTGCTTTCTCAGAGCAGCAAAGGTTGTACGACTGGTGATTTGCGTGGCAGCAGTAAAACGCGGGATGCAGTAAGCTCCTTTTTTTTTTTGAGGGGATGCAGTAAACTCCTGACCGAAGCTTCTACGCCTTGTCCCCTCCACAAAGGAGTCGTGCCAGGCACCACACGTCGAGCACACCACAAACCAAGCCGGTGCGAGCACCAGACAGGCTCGACGAAGATCTGATGCGACGCAAAAGTGGATCATATCTTCACCAAAGGTGACGCCAAAAAACACTAAAATAGCACTGTATAACATCACTAATGTCGATCGACGTGAGGCCAGGTAACGCCGAGGCCGTCCAGTCCAGGGATCGAATCATACTACACACACACATCATTATTTTGGAAGGGAAGCAATTCCGCTTCGTTGTCGCCAGGGAACGAATGAATGGATTCCTTCCCACATTGGACGGAGGAGTCGTGCCAAGCTGTGGGCACACACGTCGCGTCCTGGCTTCCTTGCTCGCATAAGTACGCGACTCGCAGGAGAAAACCAGCAGCATCAACCTGCCTGCCACTGCCCACTGCCGGTCCGCGAGGCGAGCGAGCAAAAATCTCGGGAGAGAGAGGCAAAAAAAGAAAAGATCCCACGAGCAGGCGAGCGAGGAGGGAGGAGGATGTCGTGGCAGACGTACGTTGACGAGCAGCTGCTCTGCGACATCGACGGCCAGCGCCTCACCGCCGCCGCCATCCTCGGCCACGACGGCGCCGTCTGGGCGGAGTCTGAGTCCTTCCCCAAGGTCCTCCCTCTCCCTTATGGATTATACCTATTACCTACCCATTGATGCTCCCTTAGATGACCTGGTCAATCTATGTTTGACTTGGCTAGGATCTCGCTTGTCCGAGTTACTGCGGGCCTGATCCGTTGGGGAATCGATTTTTTCACTCGCTTGTTGTAAAAGTAATAATCCATAGGATGTACTTAGTACTACAAAGTACCCATGTACTTGGTTGTTGGTTCTACCTCCTGTGGTTAACGCGGCTGGTTTGGGGCTAGGTTTCTAGTACAGATGTGCTTAGTTGTGCTGAAATTTTTGTTATATATAAGCATCTGAAACTATGAATAGAAGCACATTGGCCGGTGATATTTATGTGACCATACAGACCAAAAGTTTATTTCCCGGCTAGCCTAAAACACATAATTACCAAAATAAAAAAAAAATATCAAATTGGTGGTACAAGTAATTCTTCTAGAGACACGGCTTGGATCATCAGATTGCAGGGAGCATAAAGATTGTTTGTGCTAATTACTATTTCGAACTGTATTACACCGTTGCTTCGTAATTTTTAATTGATCGGGAAGGAAGATCCACTGCTCAGTATGCTTTTTTTTGTGACACCATTAGTTTGCATCTTCAGTATGCCTTTTTGTGGATCCATGAGTTTGTATGTTCAGTTTGCAAACCTTTGCTCTCTTTATCTTGCAGCATTCCTTTTTCCCGCTTTGAAAGATTATATCGCATCATTCTCATGACTTATTATCGGTGTGTTTCTACATTCCACAGGTCAAACCTGAAGAAATTACTGCAGTAATAAATGACTTCGATGAACCAGGCTCTTTGGCACCAACTGGATTATTCCTTGGTGGTACAAAGTACATGGTTATTCAAGGTGAACCTGGGGCTGTCATTCGGGGCAAAAAGGTTAGGACCTGGCATTCCATTTTCTACCACTAGACTCCTTTAAAGAAACCATGGTGTTACAAAGTTTCTTCAAAAGCAGGAGAGCAGACTTCATTATATCGGCTTATAATGCATGCAGAAATAAAGAATTAACATGGGAACATGGACTGTAATCATGTCTTAAATACTTATGAATCAGAAACTGGTCTTCTGTAGCCGTATGGTCAAATTGTTCATACACATCCTTGGTCTTGGTCTTTGGTCTTGGCTCTCCTGGGCAAAGGAATTACTAGCTGTATGAGTTAGCTTCTGTAGCTGTATGGTCACATCGTTCGTACGAATCCTTCTTGTACCATATAAAATGTTGAGCAAGCCACCCAGGAGCTGGACACTCAGGGAAAATCTGATTTGTTTGGAGAAAAAGTTCACTTGAAATGTATCTTATCCACAGTGTAATGGAATACAATTGCATCATGCTTTCCGATTAACAGCAAAGCTATAACAATATCACTCTGCTTTTCAAATAAAAAATGATGACTGGATGTTATGTAGGAAGCATTTTATATATACATTTGTACTTAACATTTTCATTGTTTTGCACAAAATAGCTACTCTGTTGTAAAGGGTTGAGAAATAGGAGTTGAAATGCAAGTAAAACTCACCGCCACCTGCTGCATTTTTCAGACAGTTAAAACATCTCTGATATTCAGTGACAACTCTTTACTAGTCAGAAAATATTGAGTTTAGCATACTCTCTTGCAACCTGACAAGCTTCAATCTATCATTCTGTTGCTTACAAGTTACAAGCAAGGTTTTCATACTGGTGTCAATGATAATGATGACTAAAATTGCAGTTCTACTGGTCACCAGGCACTAGAGGGAAACTGAAAAATTACCGTGTGCATAATATATTAGGAATGCCTCACTAGTACACAAGGCACACTGCCTAGATTGCACAAAAGAAAAACGTTATCATCATGAACCTCACACCTATGGTTGAGGGGTTACAAGCATGCAGAAGTCCCTGACTTCGGATAGCAAAAATCTTCATTCAGTTTAAGTTGGGTCACAAGCAACTTATGTATGCATTGATTAGTCTCAAATTCTCTCTGCCTTGGTACTTTAGTGATGATAAAAGATCATTTCTTCTGTTAATAATTTTAGCATCTTAAAAATCATCTAGATTTGTAGGTTGTTCTACAGTTTCCCTCTAGAGACAGTCAGCATTTCAGCTTATATGATCAATCCAAAATTTAACTGGAAGTTGACTGATCACACTTCTATTTTTCCTGAAACTAAATTAATGCAGTAGTATTTCCGCACAAGAAAGTTGACAGGTTTACTTCAAAGTAAGATGTGTTAGTACGGACTATTCCCTAATGTCGAACATTTTGCATCTTTTATCTCATCAATGGTGCTTTCTCTGCAGGGGTCAGGAGGGGTTACAATCAAGAAGACGAGTCTAGCCATCATCATTGGAATTTACGAGGAACCAATGACTCCTGGACAGTGCAACATGGTGGTGGAGAGGCTCGGTGATTACCTTCTTGAGCAGGGCTTCTGAACTCAAGAGTCCTAGTCTGGGCCAACTGGGCTTATGCCTACCGAAATGTACTACCGCATACCCCATGAATAATTGGACACATCCGGATATGTTTTGAACAAGTGGAGGTTCCTCGTTATGTTGGAATTGCTTCCTATATGTCATGGGGCTTATATGTAACCTTTAAACGTCGTCATATTTTTGCCAAGCATCCAGTTTTTCCTGTTACTGACAATACCCTGCAATGTATAAAAATGCGTCGATGATGATTGCTTTATTGCGTTTCAAAAAATGATTGCTTTATCAAATGTTTTCTGTTGCAAAATTCACATAATAATTCTGATGAGACAATTTTATGTCTTACTACAAAATATAATTCAGGCAGGAGCAATTTCAGAAGCACCACATTGCGCTTACGGTGGCCCTGGTTTGCTTGGGTAGGCTTTGACACTACCTGTGATGATCAGGACATGGATCTATTTTACGCGGCAGTCATCGTTACAGTCAGGGACGGGAAGAATGGACAGTTTTTGTTGGCACTCGCCTTGGCTTCATGGATGCAAGCCGTAGGACTAAGCGCCGGGAATCTTTGAGTTATGCAAACGCAAGACATGCAAAGTTCGTAAGGCTATGCTGAACAACGGTTGAATCAGATACACTGACATGCAACATGGCCTTTCGTTGATGCACGTAGATATGAAAAATGAGATAATGTGGACATTCACTGCTGATGAATGTGGGACGGCCTAAGCACAGGCTCCCTCTTCCGGTTTTGAACCCTTTAAAAAAATATTTTTTCATTTTTTGTTTCCTTTTCTTTTTTTTTATTTTTATTTGTCCCATTCTATTCTTTTTTATCCTTTCCTTTCCGTTTTTCAAATTTTAATTTTTTTATAAAATATGCAAGTTTTTAAAAAAAATCATAAACCTTTTTTTAGAAATCACCAGTAATTTTTGAATTAATTATTTTATTTGAAAATTGCAAACTATTTACAAATCTGCGAATAATTTTAAAATTTTAGAACATTTTGTGAACATTTTACCCAGATCCGCAACAATTTTTGAATTCACAGGCATTTTTTTAATTTTGAGACATTTTTTTTCGAACTCACAAACATTTTTTGAATTTTAGAATAAGTTATAAATTCATGAAGTTTTTGAAAACTGTTTTTTTAAATCCTGAACATTTTCTAATGAAGCAAAAAAAAAGTAATAAAACAGGGGCGCCCACCCCGCACATGGGCCGGCTCAAAAGAATCCAAGGGAAGGAGTGGGGTGCGCGTTTGCTTGCTCAGCATTGTATAACGCGGGGAAATAGGAGGTCCTGCTGATGACCTTTACTCTGCCGCTTTGGCGTACGAAATGCAATTTGCGAGGATCATTACTTCTAGTCAGGGGGGAATCCGGCCCAATGGGCCAAGGTGGGCCAACAGTAGAACTACACATATAAATTTATTTACTTCTTAATTTTCTTCTACTGCCTTCGATCCATATTAATAGTCACTAATTTAGTACAAAGTTTACTAAACATCGACATTTAATATAGATCGGAGGAGTATAATATACAAACTACTGTGTAATCTATGGATGGGTTGAGGCTACCCTATCCACCCTCTAGATCCACCACTACTTCCGGTATGCCGAGAGGGGCGAAATGTTAGGTACCTCCCAAGTTGAAGTTGTTCTCGTGGCCCATCATGCAAAATAATCTAGAGGGCGGATAGATTGCAAAGGCAAGGCCGCACGAAATGTGTGTTATGTCAACTGTGCAAGTGTGAACCGGAATATGCCTCGTGCCTTTTCAAATGCCGCTACACCCGTGCCATGGAATATGATTTGGTAGTGGTTTGGTCTTCATCAGCTTGGCACGACAATTTGGAGTGAACTGTATTTGGTTGAAGAATGGTGATACGAGACGGTTTGGCTCCATAGTTTTCTATGCAAGGCCATGAGCTCGCTCGGGGATCGAGAATTAGAATGAGTGGAATGCACGAGTCTTCCATACATGTATGTAGGCCTTCGCTGGAGAAAAACACCTGAGATCTTTAATGCTGGTAGAGTAATCCAGTTGTATCCACTTTGTTGGTCTCGCTGCTTAAAACTTTGATTCCATCTCTTTATTGATAAAACGGGACAAATCATTTGCCTCCGTCTTACTATATACTCCCTCCGTTCAGAAATACTTGTCGCACAAATGGATAAAACTGGATGCATCTAAAACTAAAATATGACTAGATACATCCATTCCTCCGACAAGTATTTCCGGACGGAGGGAGTACTTCTTTTGTTTCAAATTAAGTGTAGCTGATTTAGTATAATTTCGTACTAATGGAAGGAGTAGAAAACAAACAATCATTGAGCACCTAAACACGTGGCCACCATGTCGTTGTTTCATAACTATTCATACCAGAACATGTTCAAGGATGTCTGTCTGCCAGTGCCAGCCCCAGGTCCATATTTATCGCATGCTCCAATCCATCTAACGGACGTTGATTTCGGTTGCTGCCGTCGTCTCACCTCACCACTTCACCAGTACCTACCATCCCTCTTAAATCCAGCAGCTTAAACCGTTTGAATCCTGTGTGGGAGTAGAGTACAGAGAGTCACATGAATCACCCGGCCCGCCCGTCTGAATGAATTCTGGTGACCGCCGACGACAGTTCCTTTACGTGGCGTGTTTCTGATTCAAACAAGGCGCGAGATTATGGGCCGTGTGAGGGACCGAACCGAACCTGCGCGCTTTCGAATTCATTACCGTTTTCAGATGGAGAGAAGAAACCGAGGCAGGCAAAACCCTGGCATTCTCGAAGCCACTTGTGGCCGGTTTTTCCTGACCTTTCACCAACAGCGAGCAAATCCATGTGAAATCGAAAATGACAGAGATCCTCTCCCTTGCCCCTTCTGCGCTACTGTACCGTATTTGCTTCCATTTCTCTGAATAGCCAAATGCATAAAGATTGTTCAGCCCCCAGCTCTCAATAACGGGGGCGACAGTGTCCCGGCGAGGCAGTGAGGTACCACTGGCGATTTGAATTATTCCCGCGAGATGTTCCGGGTGGGCACTGTGTCCGTGAGTGAGGTGGTGGTCCTCCTATGCAAGATCTGACTGCGTGTTGGGCACTCTCGCGCTGAAGAGATCTTAATTGCGAGTTATTAGCGTGACTGCCCAGAGCCCCAGAGTAACAGAGAGCGCAGCGCTGGGGTTGAATGGCTCAGGTGTCCCCCCCTCTGGGAATTTCCTTGGGCTCTGAGTAGCGCTTCCGTCACATTGCTGCTCTTTATCTTGAGTGCCGCCAGTGGGTGTGCCAGCGGTAGATTATCTTTTTAAAGGAAGTTCTTGGCCTACTCAGAGTTATGGGGTTAGGGTAGTTTGCCACCTTGATCTGTGAGACATTTTTACTATTTCTGAGGCATGAGTGAGGAGCAAATTTGCTGGCAGCAAACGCGCGCCAGGCACGACCTGGCCGTGCCATCACTCACTCTGAGGCCGGAGGTGGCGCCAAGTGATACGCCGTGGAGAGATACAAGCAAGCAAGCAGGCAGGCAAGGTCCCCCATGGCGCAGTTCATCGGCGAGACGAGGCGACAAGTGAAGCTGCGACGCATGCATGCCACGGGTTCAGGGTCTCAGGCTGGCTCGAGGCACCCGCGCCATAACGCCGCGGATTCAGAGCTTGTACGTACGCACTGCGCGTGCTGTACCGGGGTGGAGGGGACACGCACGCTGCGGCGCATTGCATACGGCAGGTGCGGTTGGACGGTGCATCAGCTTATCCGCTCGACGGCGGGGCATGAATTCCCGCAGGGCGTACGGCGCTGCCGGCGCCAGGAGAGCAGCCGCGAGGCGGCACGGCGGGCGCTCCCATGCATGCACGGCTGTGGGTGTTGCGAGTTCTAGCATGTGCTGTTTGTTGGGTGCAGTGCATGCTGGTAATGGCGGTTTTTATCTGCGTTGGCTTCATTTTAATTATGTTATGACGGTATTTTTTATTCATATACGTCGTGTTGGGCTGTTTTTTTTTAGGGTGAGCGTTGGGCTGTTGTTGGAGACGGTGTTTATCGTAAGATGAGAGTGGAGCTGTTTGTTGCGTGTTGTTGTGTCCTTAAATGTTTGGGTCCCTAAATGCTTTGGCCTTGGTGCCATCCAAGTATTGAGCTCTTGGGAGATCACATTCCATGCTGAAATCATGGAATTGCTCCCTATGCCACGTACGTGGGCTAGCCCATGAAGCTCTCGCTCGGCTTGGACATAGCTCCACTCGCTCACTTTGCTTTCTTTTTCTTCTGGCTCAGAAAATTTGGGTACATTTCTTATTTGAAAAGGTTCATTAAATCAAAAGATGTACAAAGATTAATTTTTTTATAAAATATTGTGAATTAAAGAAACCATTTTTTATAAAATCGTGATTTTTTTAAAAAAATCTTTGTTCATTTTCATATATTTTTTGCAAATTTAAAAATGTCACACACTTTAATTTTTTTAAGAACTTTAAAATTATTCGTAAATATAGAAAATGTTCATGAATTTGGAAAAATATGAATGGATTTTAAAAAATGGCCATGATTTTTAAAATGCTCATTAATTAGGTGCGGAAAATAATGAATGAAAAATAAAAATAAGAAATAATAAAAGTGTAAACAAAATTGAAAAGAAAAATAAGAATAGAAAACATTGGAGTCGGTAGAGAAAAACACAGAAAAGATAGAAGATGTAAAAGAAATAATATCTTCTTCAAAAACCTTCTAGAACCAAGAAAACCAGCCAACACATTATGACTATATATACACTTAGAACAGAGCGACCCCCACAACTCCAACGCATCTCAAGGATCCACATCATCCCCTAAAACAGACACACTGTTTGTCTGCAGACTGGTCTGGATTTGTCCGGCTCTATTTTTTTAAGTCCGGGGCACTCAAAATAATTAAAGAAAATAGAACCATTCATCCATAAATAACATGCAAAAATCTCTAGTGCAAAAATAGTTCAAATATAAATATTTCATCTGAGATAACATGATG